ATATGCTTGTAATAATGAAAATCCTGAAATATTTGTTACTGAAAAATACCTACTGATAACAGCAAGATTGAGTACGATGATAATTCGTACCAATTTCTGGGGACAATGTGCTTTGAGTCAGTAAAGTTGTGTTGAACAATTGGAAGCTTATGTTTGAAAGAGTATAGAAAAGGGATATTTTTGACAGTGACAGTTTTAAGGGGGGAAAAAAAAAGACCTATAGCTGTTATTGGCACATGTCCACATTGTAGATTTATCCTTAAAGAGGAAACTTTCTAGGTGTGCATGTACAGAGGTGCTATAGGTGTAGCAAACACTTTCAACCACAATATTGATAGCAATGGGCATGGTGTGTTTTTGTGGTTTAGACTTGGCAATGCTGCCTTTGCAGGGTGCTTGCACACCGACATAAGCAGCGCAGGACATTGTTTTGTCCTTTCCTAAAATTCAAAGAGCTTCATTGTATCCTTGTATGAATCCTCGGGTTCTGTGGGCAGGATGCAATTGCATGGAATTTCATAGGCACAACAGTTTGTGAAGTGTAGAGCAAGATCTATTTGCAAACTGGATGGTCAGAGATGTAAATGTTATAGTTTAAACTAGGTTTAAGCCATAGGTAATCAACATATCAAGCACATTGCTGATGTTTTAATAAGATGTAGCTGCAAGTCTGAGTGCTCTGATGGAGAACAGGCAGAGTTGTATTTCTCTCCTAATTAAGTGTTGAACTTTAAGCACAATACACCTGCTTGTTAGTCTAGTTTTCCAAAAAGAGCTCTCACAGTTTATGCTGTAAATTGCAGTTTGTGGATAACTGCCTGGTAAAAACATTTTTTAAAAAAGGAACATTTTCATGAGAAAGAGTATCTGACTTGGCTCTTGAACTGTTTCATATATGTAGTCATCATGCACAGGTTGCTTGTTCCTGTGAGCTGTGTCTAAGTACTACCTGCCTTTCAAGCATTGAGATGCTTTCCAGAATAACATCTGAACTGTTGAATCTTGTCTTCAAATTATGATTCAACAGGTCAAGAAAGTGTTATACAAATAATCTCTTCATGTTCATAAAATCCAAGCCAGGGACAAGGATGGTTAATACAGCAAAGTAGTGTAATGATTTGTGGTATGGTAGTACTGTGAAGATCTAGTAATGAATTACAAGCTATCTGTGCATGGCAGTGTGTACACACACTGTTTGAGAAAAGGTCCTTTCTTCAGAAGTGGTGCTGACTAACCAGTGTTAATCCTGCCTGCACCACAGTGCTCTCCAAAAAGCCTGAGAACAAAGAGAAGAGATCAAGGTTGCACTTGGGGTTTGCTGACTACAAAGATGAAGGCTCTTTGTCAGTAGCTGCATCTTCAGGTTGCCTCTGTGCATCTTTTTTCTGTTCTTTTACCTTCTGTCACCATGAAATTCTGACATGTGTGGGTTCTGAAATAGAGATATTTCATGAAAAGACAAATCATGGTGTGATTCTTGGGACTGTCCTGTGCAGGGCCAGGAGTTGGACCTCAGCGATCCTTGTGTGTCCCTTCCATCTCAGAATATTCTGTGAATAAATTGAGTGGGCTGTAGTAGCAGTAGTCTTCTTTACAATTTGCTATGGCACTTGTTTTTCTTGTGATGAGTGGGCAGCCGATTGCAGGACTTTGTCATTTAGAGAAATTGTCAATACATTTCGCTAGTGAAAACTTAGAAATTCAGGGAAACAGATATATAAATACAATGAAATTCAGCATGGTATGTAATTTACCCTGCCTTTATACATTTGCTATGTTCCATAAAAGTCTACATTCTGTAGGTTTTTATGGCTTTCCAGAAGTTCCCTGGCTGCCTTCGGTTCCTTGTACGCACTTATAGCATATGTCCCCAGAGTAGTCCATATTGTTTGGATTGGTCAGGTCTGCAAGTAGAGAGGGATTTCAGCTCAGCATGCACTGGTCAGAGTTGCAGTTGAGGCTGTCTTATGTGTCCGAGTGTGAATATACACCTGTTTCCCTTCAGTTTCCTTCAGGGTAGAGCATTTGGTCAGAAAGAAATAAAGTTCATAATCCAGATTATGAACCCAAGACTCTGTTTTTTCTCATGGACAATATGCTGTAAATCTGTAAATATTACAGGGAACAGTAACTGGAACACCAACACCTTTTTATCTAGCTGCTGCTGTATGAGCCCTTCAATAGGTATACTGGAGACAAAACTATCAGTTTGTTTTCTGCCTCTGTGCCTTTTGTTCTGTGGAGCAGCTTTGGTTTAATTAAAGCTCTTACTAGTATATCCTGTAGGATGATAGAGTATTCCCAGGAAATGGGAATGCAAACCCTTTGGGGCTGAGGAGGGACTGGAGCCCATTTACCTTACTTTCTGTGTATGCCACAAAACTGCAAAATATCTGGGCGTGATTACCATCTTCTGTCATGTCTCAACTGGATCTACTGCATTTTATCTTTCTCCTTGTGGAGAGATGTCAGATACCAGAAAACCTTATCATCTGCAATTGTTCTGAAACCGCTACCTGTATTTTTTCTGTTTATTGATGAAATATATGTCTTCCATCAAAAAAATCTTCCCCACCACAATTTCCTGCAGCCGGGCACCTAACTTGGGCAGATTTGTTTCCATTCCATAATTCAAATCAAAACCAGATACTTTGCATAAAAATACCCAGTTGCTTTTCATTCCATTATTTAGAACTGGTAAACAGGTGAGAGCTCCTGTGAAACCCAGAAACAAACACCAGCAAATTCTATGTAAAAGCAATAATATGGCCAAAACATGTGAGTGCTTGTGAAGTTAGTGGTTCAGTCTTGAAGCAGCTGTGTCCTAAATAAACTAACAAACACCCCATACCCTGGGGACACAAGATGCTACCATGAACAGCCTTCCAGCTCTGTTCTCATGAGCTGTGGCCTCAGCTTACTCATACTTGTACATGAACATTTTCATTTATTCTGCTGAAGGGGCCGTGTGTTGTAGGTGCCCATGCTGGGATTTCAGCAAAAGACACAAGGTTATTTTAGAACCTAACACCTACTGGTTTTTCCCACTGCATTCAGTCCTTTTTGGTGAATTTTAAGATACTTGATTCCGTGGGAATTTTTTTAGGGTATGAATAAACTGTGGTAGTAATGTAATGTAACTCAGAGTCTTAGCAGTTGTGTTACTCTTCATGTTTGTCTGCCTTACGGGGCACGGGAACAGCACAAGAATTTTGATGTCAAACCTGTAGAATTGTGATCTCTTTTCTCATGGTTGAGCATGCAGAAATGTATATTCTCATCTCTTTTTGCACTCCCAACCCTGCAGGGGAATCTTCTGAACTAACAGTGCCATACACTAGTTGCAGCAGGTGACCTTATAGAACCATACTGGAATGGAGGAGCTGGTCTCCCTAACCTAAGCAGAAAATCAATTTTCTGTAGATTTTAACTCTCTTGTAATTGAAAGTTAAGTCTTTACTAGTTTATTATGTATTATTTAAATATATAATGCCCTGCTAAAACAGTGTTTATAGAAGTGATTCTCATGAGTATTTGGAGACTTATTCCATTAACTTAGAAATAACTGACAGAAGTTACATCCAATGTGGAATACTGTTGATTCTTTTATGCTGTAGCATCACGGTAGCTGAAGTAGTTATGCCTTAAAGTTTTCTCAGGAAACATTTTGAGTAAGCAGTCTTTATATGCTGAACTTTTTGTGTAAAAGTTATTTCACTGCTAAAGAATTTTTTATTTTGCTCTTGAGTCTGTGATAACATCCCATTCTTTCCATATTACTGCAAGAGTTCAAAACCTGCTGCATTCACGTCTGTGAAGTTACCAAGGGCAGAAGGAACATTGTGGTCATGAGCCAATGCTGTTAGGCATGATAGGCTGTTGAAGGAAGGCTTACTTCCAGCATTCCCATTTGGATTGCTGTGTTGCAAAGCCCTGCTCTGGGGACTGCACTTCTGTTGTCCATCTTGACTTTTCCCATCAAATTCGCTTTCCCGACATGGGGGATGCTCTGCTAGTTCATCCCTCATGACGCAAGGTCAGGAGCTGGGCCTCTGTGAAGGACAACCAGACAATCAGAAGGCTGGTCTGCATCCAGGAAACAAATAGTTTTACAGGCTGAGTTTAGGATTGGGCTCTTTGATTAAAATTGCTGGCAATTCAAGCACCAGTGTTTATTCCAAATCTCTGCTTGTTTAATGAAGAATGCATCATGTAGTTTCTTAATACTGGTCCTGGAATTTACTGTGTGGTGTATTCTGACTATACTTCAGTATCACAGTAACACTTGATTAAGTAAATAAGATAGCTGTGAAGGTCATAAATGAAGAATTACCAAATTAAGATTTGTGTGAAAATCTATACTGCAGGCTTGAAAGTTTAATCAAAAGGAAGTCCTTAGTGTGAAACTTCTTTTTTATTTTGTACTGGTGCCTTAGCAATATGCCTCTCTCAAAACAGAACAGCAAGATACCATTTTACTGCTTTCTTTTATAGTGAATTGCTTCTTTGCAGTGAATAGTTGTACAAGCAGATATGTTTAGAGTTATTTCATGTGCAGGCATCTTGGAGATTGTAATTAATGGCATCTGTTGAGAGAGTTCTGTTGAGGGAGTTCTGCTGTCAAGAGTATTAGCAGGTCATTGCTTGAGGTTTGTAGTCTCTGTGTAATTGCTGTCCTGTGTCACTGAGGTTGTTTGGTTCTTCAGTCCCTTATTCCCCCCTCCACATTTTTTTCAGAAATATGAATGGGATTCATTCTGCCAGTCAGTAAAATTCATACTGAAAAGCATGGCCCTCAGCTGATGCTAGGAAACCTTCTGGAGGGAGGGAAGAAGGAACTGTTGTAGGAGAGTAGCCATTAAGTTCTGAAACAGGCATCTCCAGAGACTATTACACTCTGCTTATTTTAGAAATGTGTCTCTTCCTGCTCCTTTTTTAACCAGAGCCTTCATGCCTGGGGGTGGGGGCTTGGCTGTGTGACCAGTGTAGTCCAGCACACAGCCACAGGCTGTGCCTGAGCAGCAGGAGCCTTTGTCTCCACACCCCCTCCAAGTTCTCTTTTTCTCCATCCTCTTCTCACCACTTCTGCCGCACCAGGAGAAGTGATTTTGTAACCAGGTGGAAGAAACAAGACACTTATTTGTTGGATTAGTTTCAGAAAGATCTTTTCTTGTTCCAGCCCTCCTGGTGGCTGCAGTAATGCTGGCATTGATCAAAAAGGAAAGCAGTAAGAATAATCAGCCAGGAGGTTAACCAGCAAGGGAGAATAATCAGCAAGGAGGATGGGGCAGCTCTCTTCAGTGACTTTCCATCCTTGCACTACATGAAAGTGGCTGTAAACATAACATCAGCTCCAGGAGGAATCGATTCCATGCAGCATTTCTGAACCATGAAAATACAGCTCATGCTACGAGGTGTCAGGCTGAGGGAAGCACGAATGCAAGCCCAAAAGTGTGAGGTGTGTATTCATTTCTAGGTTTGTAAGTGCAATTAGAGTGGTGTGTGGGGATATGAGTAAGTTGGCTGTCTGGATACTGCTTTTAAAAGGTGCTGTCTGCACAACAGCTCAGCTCTTACTGCACACTGAAATGTTTCCCCCATGGTCCGGTTGCGTGTTTCGGTGGAAAGCTTTGCAGTGAGGCACAGTTCAGATGCAGTAGGGGCAGATGCCATGGAGTGTTTTCCTGTGCTTGCCATCAGCTTGGTGGATTCTGCATTACTGGGTGAGATGAGGAGCAGCTCAGCTGAGGGGACTAACACTACAGGAACCCAATATGTTGTTGTTAATATTGCCTTAATATCTGTATAAACTGTGGCCAGAAAGTGATGAGAGAAGATCAGCATAGCCATCAGTATTTAATTTCAAAGGAATAAATGTGTATATAACTCTTACCTTTCTTCCTTGATCCCGTTTGCCCAGTTAAGTTTCTGCAGGGATGCTATTGCCTTTCTAATAAATAAACTTTAAAAGGCTTCAGTGGAGTGGTTAATTTCTGAATATCTTGATGATTAGCAGAATGCGAAGGTTCTAAATATGTAATTTACAAATTCAATATTCTGTGGACAAATAATAGTTTCTTCTTTCCGTTGTCACTTAATGACTCTCTCATTTCAAATTAAGAGCTATGGAAATTTCCATCAAAGCTGATTTTATAAATAAAAAAATTTCTTCAAACATTACTGTTTGTCAAGACAGTAAGTAAAAAAAACAACTTGGAAAGTATTGAATCTAAACATTTATGGTTATGTTCATGTTAGTTTTCCTAAAACATTTAACAGAAATAGATTATGGTTCACAAATGTGCAGAAATGATTTTAAAATCAGTTTTTCAACAGTACACCATTTGCAGCCTTTTAGAAAGGATCCAAATGGTAATACAGTATTAAAGTGATTTCAGTCTCTTGGCTTTAAGTTGCTTTTTCAGGGAGAAAAAAAAACACTTTTTCAAGAATTCCAGAATCTTTTTCAAGGCTGTAGAAAGGGGAGAACAAGTAGAAAATAGTTAAATGTTGCATAAAAATATTCATTTATTTCTTGTAACAATTGGGGTTTTATTCAGTCGCAGTCATTTGTGATTGAATACTGACACGACATTTAGTTGTCGCTCCACCGAGGTTTTCCAAAGCCTTTGGCTATCCGGTGTGCTCTGGAGTTGTTTGCTTGGGTTTATTCCCTCAGTGGAAGAATCTGCAGGAGGGCAGCTCCCACTGCTGACTGGGGACTGGCAGGGGAGCGCATTCGACGCTGCAGCAGGACGAGGGGTGCATGTCTCTGCTTGCATGGGACAGCAGCAGAGCTGGATCCGGAGCAGCAGATCTGTTTGCATTTCCCCAGCTGGAAAAGCTGTTAGCTGAGGAGGTAGAGGAAGCGAGGGGCTGTGTGCATCGCTCCGGGAGAGGCATTGGCGCAGCCATATATGGACAAGGACGTTTTCCTTGTTAACTTTACCGGGACTCTGTGCCCAGAGCTGCATTCATCATGCAGATGCATTTCCACTGGAACGTTTCTCTTCCAAACCGTCTTACTCATAGCTTTAGCACTGTGTCACCTCTTTGCTGATTTATTTATATAGTCTGGGTGGACTTGCTGTGCATCCACTCTTAGTCTGCCCTAAAAAGGTGAACTGTTAATAATTTTCTTGTCTAGGCTGACAGAAAACATGGTACTCACCTGGTGCCAGCAGCTTGGACTTTTTCTTACTGAAAGGCCCACCCCATTTTGGGCTGTGCTAAAAGCAAAACTGCTTGAGTAACAAAATATCCTTTCATTTGAGGGAAGCAAGGTTTGGTGAACACAACATACCTACCATAAAACCAGGAAGAACCTGAAAGTTGAGCAACCTAGTAAGGACTTGCTGTCTAGACTCCTGGTCTTGTAGGTGGGCTCCTAACATTGTCTTTCCAAACCTTTGTTCAGTCTCTTCATCTGTCTTCCACCTGCTCACGTTCCTTGGGTCACCATTCCCCTCTGATCAAGGTTTGTGGTTGCACAGGTTGAATTTAGGTGATCATTTAGAAAGGAGCTTAACAAAAGTGTTCTGGAAGAGAGTTTTTGTGAATGAAGGACTGGTCACTTACAGCAGTGTGCAGAGAAAAATTCAAGTTGCATATATGCAGTAAGTAGTGTTCAAAGGTTAAGTAAGAGATAATTCACAGTTCTGTTTTTTCCTCTTTTTTTAACCAGTGATTTCCTTTTTGCTTATGCATAACATCAACCAAAGTAGTTCAACAGCATATTCTCTAAACTCCACTGCTTGTCCTTTCACCACCCCATAGCATCCACTGAAAAGTGAGCCAAAGTGATTTATCAGAAAAATATAAGCCGTTTAATACTGTTGTTGGATACAATTTGTTAGCAAAGGGTTGGCTTCTGTTTGAAACTTACCCCATCAGATTTTGGAGCAGCCGTCCCTTCTCTGATAGGTCTGGCTGGATGTGCAAAGTAACAACTGTGCTTCAGTGTGCAAAAACCAAACTCAACTGCTGTACTAATTTGAGCATTGCTTACTTTGTTGCTAATTTATACAAAAAACAGTACATCATCTAGAAAAATGACATCTTCAGTTTAGGAGATTCTGCCAAATTCACTTTTCCTTGGCTATACTGCAAGAGATTTTTTTAGAACAAAAAGTTATTAAGAATACTTTTGTTTCCAGGATGACTGGAGAGGCTTTAATTACCAACATTTTAGAGTGTTCAAGAAAACTGCCCATTATTATCGAAGTTCTCAGAACTCTTAAATAAAAGAGAAATAAAATTTAAAATAGTATCAAAATTTAAAAGGCAACTGACCCTGGCTGACTACCTGCTATTATGGTAGGAAACAATTTAGAAAAATTTAGCCTTTCATTAATACTTATAGCACTAAACAATTTTTTTTTCTTTGGATGGATGGTATCCAATTCTTTTCTGTTGTCTAAAGAAGTAAAAACAGGGGGGGTAGAGTTTATGTCAGGGATGCTTTATGGTGCGTATTTTGAGATGAAATTTCTAGTTTGTTGTATAAAATGCAAAGTTAATCTGCAAAATGCCCCTTGAAGATTACAGAGAAAATGTTTTGTCAAAGGCCTTGGTGTTTATCTTGAAATGGAGATGTGAGTATAGAAGCTCTGTTTCCGTCCTGTATTATTGTGGTAGCTTTATTTAGAAGTGTCTCTCTGATAACATTCAGAGCATAAATATTTTTTATAAGGTGTTAAAAAACTGGTCTGGGTTCTTCCTCCCAAGTGAACGACATTTCCGAATTTCTCATAGCTTGCTAGTTTACCTAGCAAAAGAACATTTCAAAAGAATTTAAGAAGCTACTCTGATGTCTTCTAAATACAGTGTAGCCCACAAATATGGTTTGTATTAAGGCAAAACTGTGCAGCTGGTACAACTAAGAGAATTAGATTTGTATTTGTTCCATGTTCCTTGTCTCCTCTGAAACAGTTATATGTCCACAGCTTTGTGATTTTTTTTTTTTGCACTTCTTCATCCAGTTTGGTTTCTCTTTTGTCTTCCAGACTAATTTCAAATGGCTCACGTGTGCTGGCATCCTCTGTTGCTTAATATGGAATGGATTTGCCCAGCAAGGTAAGGCACTTGATTGCACTGCAGTAGTTAATTGCTGCTTTAAAATGGTATCTGTTCAGCAGTTATTTATGTGGATAAATACATCCTCACTAGACAAATGCTAATGCAGTAGGTCAGTCATATCTCATGTTAATAACCTTTGGTTGGAACTTAGCTTACAAAAGTGAAGTGCTGTTGTTGTAAAACACCTTTCTATAACTGAAATGACGGATTTGCATTCCTCGCTAGGTGGAAGCGACTGCATAAAAGCAAATGCAAAGTCATGTGGGGAATGTATACAAGCAGGACCAAACTGTGGCTGGTGTAAAAAAACAGTAAGTGTTGCAAAAATCTTTTTATGGTTTGTTTTTTTCCCTTGGTTTCAAACTTTAGTAAATACTTTACCTGTATAGAAATATCTGTTTTCATTAACAGTAGTTTCCTCTAGTTCTTCAATTCAATATTTATTTGTACTTAATCAAATACTGTGATTTTTCTGATTTGAGTATAAACATTTTTCACAATATATTTACTTCTCATTTTCTAAATCCTAAGTGCATACAGACACTATAAGCTGTCTCATAGTTATTTAAAATTAGTCCAATGTGGAATCTGTCTGAGTATGCTTAATTATAGTCTTCCAGTGACATTAGAGTTAGAGCTAATTTTAGACAGATGTAGGTGGAACAGGGAAAGAGATTGAAGGGGATTTTTCTTCTAAAAGAAAGATTTTCAAATTTTAGTTTTCTATTGGTAGACCTGAGGAGTAGGACATAGGTTTGTGTGGGTGGGTAGTTTGTTTCATTATGAAACAAAAAGGATATGTTCTTAGGTTAAGAAAAATTAAGTTCAGGAAACTGCAAAATATAAAATATAACCACTGTATGCTGACATATCTTCTTTAGGTTAGAAACAGAGGGAAATATTTTCTATAGCTCTTCTTTGGTTTGTTTTTGAAACTGAGAAATTTTCCTTTTTCTTGCTAGGAGATGATAATTTATATTTATTTCTGTATATTGCCTACTTACTCTTCCCAAAACCAGCTTATAAACTTGCAATATTTAGTTAAACTGACTGCTTTTATAATTTCACCTTGAGCTATCACATTTCCTGTAGGTCTGTGTCACCAAAAATTGACAAGGTTTAGTATACATTTATTTATATGCATATTTTAGGGATGGGGACAGAATCAGAATTGCCAAGTTTCTCAATTAAAAGCCTTATTTATTTATATTTGAAGTTATAGCTTTTTTAAGGTTGGGTGTAATGATAATTTGTTGTTCAGAATAAAGCAAAGGATTGGTTTTGCTTATGGGTGTTATTTTCAGATTTAATGCCCCAAAATAAGAGTTGTCTTTGCCCTGCTCTGTCAGTAGCTATTGCTTTGTTGTGGAGTACCGAGATACACTTGTATAGTCTTAATTAAAAAGAAAAGAATGTTAAAAGCAGACTGTATGAGTAGGTTCACATTATTGGTAACTATGTGAAAAGGAAAGATTTTTCTACTTGTAGTTACTTTTAGAGTAGCCAATTTAAACAGATGTCCCACTTCTGATGGAAGTGGCCTTAAGCTTTATTTTTTTTCCCTCCTGCATCTTATACACAGATAAGTATTAGTAGATGCAAACTCCTGGAGTAAATAGTAGTCATTGAATATATGTAGTATCATTTAATATATTTCAAGACTGTGCTTTATTACTGAACTTTGCAAAAAGTTAGATGTTATCATTGTAGAAAGAGCAGTTGTGGGTAGAATATAAGAACTTGCACATAGCCCTAAATGTGATTCTCTTTTGCCTGTGTTTTCTAGGACTTTTTGCAAGAAGGAGAGCCAACATCTGCCCGGTGTGATGACTTGGCAGCACTGAAGAGTAAAGGCTGCCCTATGGAAGACATAGAGAATCCCAGGGGCAGCAAGCAGGTGCTCGAAAACAGAGAAGTAACAAATCGTAAGAAAGGTGCCGCAGAGAAGCTGAAACCAGAAGCCATTACACAGATCCAGCCACAGAAATTATCACTGCATCTAAGAGTCGGTAAGGATAGTTTCGTTCCAGTTTTGGGATGATTCTCTGCCACCACCACATCTGCATTTTTTGATTTGCATGTGTAACCATTTTGTTACAGAAATGACTATTTTTCAGATAATATGAATGAAAGCAGAGCCATTCAGTTCAGCTCCAGGTGTTTAGGTACTCCAAATACTGTATGATTTTTGAGAAAGATTAGATATTATCACTTGTTTTATATTTCCCAATAGAACTTAGGAGAAAATTGATACAAGATGAATCAGAAAGGTAAAATTGTTTTGTTTTTAGTATTTTGTAGTTGATTTTTTACAGTGTGCCTATAGGATAAATGTAGAGGAGTCAGCAAAAACTTCAAGTTACTAAAGCATTTCCTTTTGCTTGAAGTACTGCCGTTTCCTGAAGTCTGTGTGTCTGAACAAAGTGGTTTTGTAGTTATGCAGTGCAATTTTTGGATTGCTACATAAAATACCTTCCAGAGGCTAAAGATGTGGGCACAGAACCACAGCAATGAAAAAACAAAGTAGTGTATCATTTCTAGCCCCTAAAGAGAACTTTATCTCATTCAAATGAGGGGGGCAGGAAGGAACAGGGCTAGTGGATCACTTGAGCCACAATGGAGATGGTCCTCAAGCAGAGTTCTTAGGTACTGTAGTCACGTTGAACAGCTGCCTTGTATTTTCCTGGAAGAAGACATTGTACTTGGGGTCAGCTGCTTGGTGGTAGTTGCAGTAATAATTGGAAGGTGATGTGAAGCAGGCTCAGCATGATCTAGAGAGGAAAGTAACAAAAATTATTTTGCAATTTTGGTATGGCTCCTGTTTATTTCTAATGTGGATTTTTTTGCTTCAAACCAAATTATTGTTCCTCTGTTGACACAGATTTTCTTCATCAGAACACAGGGAGCTGAGCAACCAGAATCTAATTACCCAAAAGATGTTTGTAAGCACTTCCATTGGTATTAGTTCTCTGAGGAACTGTGTACTTGCAGAGGGAGATACTTGCTTTCCGTGCAGGCTTTTTGAAATATTAGCGAAGGAAATCTAAACAGATTTTTGTGCTGTTTTTTTTTTTTTTGTGGTATGACTTCTTTCCCTTTTCGAGGATTGTTGTTCGGGGTTTTTTTGGGGAAAACCATGTTACATAGCTGTGTGATCCATATGCTGTTCAACTTGTCCATTTAATGTTTTTCTCACTTAACTAATTTTGTTGATGTTCAGCAAATGTTTTCTAATTATTAAGCAAACTTAAGTGGCAGCAATACTACCATTTAAGCTCAATGACTGAGGGGAGTGGGACATCCTATTGATTTAACTCTTTATTTTGTATAAAATAGGCAAAAGAATACTGTTGTAGTTTCTGGGAAAGAGGGTGTGGTATGTGTGTGTAATCCTTCTTCACTGTCTTTCAGCATCAGAGTGAGACTACATACTTTTGTAGGTTTTCTGCAGGGTCTGGGGTTACAATCACATCAAATGCTAACTTGCTGTTCTCTCACTGCCATTTCTGTGCTCTGAGCTTGGTAGATGCAAAGTAACTTGCAATATTCCATCCAGAACCAATTTTCTTTTATAAACCTATTAAAACAATGTGGTTTTATAACTTTTCAGAATTATTGAAGTCATCTTGGATGAAATTTGTGCTATTAGGTCTTACAGGAACCTTGTTAGAATGACTGTAAGCATGAAGATTTGAAACTTCACCAACTATAAGAAGCTTGGGTTTTGGCATGCTAATTTTTCTGTGGGGAAATAAAGTACTTCAGAAATACGAAATTGAACATTTGAAAGAAACACTTGTTGACTTTTTTTTTTTTAATCCTAATTTGATGTTAAGCATTTCAGTCAACAGGAGGAAAAATAACTCACCTGTAATTCAAAACCTTCCTAAGGATTTACAAGCCTTTCCTTAGAAAGCCTTTTTCTTGCCAGTACAGTTATGGAATTTTTATGGACTGGTTTTTCTTTGTGGTTTAATCTCTGAAACAGGGGAGCCCCAGACATTTTCATTAAAATTCAAGAGAGCTGAAGACTACCCCATTGACCTTTATTATCTCATGGACCTCTCCTATTCTATGAAAGATGATTTAGAGAATGTGAAAAGTCTCGGAACGGCTCTGATGTTAGAGATGGAAAAAATAACTTCAGACTTTCGGATTGGTAAGAAAGACTTGCCTAGTCTAAAAAAACAATAATTAAGCCCCCCAAGTTTCCTTCATGTCATGTTTCACATGATTGTATATGAAGAGGATTTTTTTTTCCAATTTAGCAGTATTATGGCAGATATTCTAACACATACATACATGAACAGCATAGAAGTATTTGGCATTGGTGGAGAAAGTGGGACATAAATAAGTATAAGAGCTATTTCTGATGTCAGTTCAGCTATAATGCATTTGAATTCTGTTATGTGATAATAGAAATAAGACTACCATTCTTCAACTTACAGGGATGTTGTTGTTCTTGTCTTAGGCTTTGGCTCTTTTGTGGAGAAAACTGTGATGCCTTACATAAGTACAACACCTGCCAAACTCAGAAATCCTTGTACAGGGGACCAGAACTGTACAAGTCCATTTAGCTATAAAAATGTGCTCAGCCTTACCAGTGAAGGAAACAAGTTCAATGAACTTGTAGGTAAACAGCACATTTCTGGGAACTTAGATTCTCCTGAAGGTGGATTTGATGCAATAATGCAGGTTGCAGTTTGTGGGGTAAGTGTGTATTTTTTTTTTTTAATGTCCTATTAAATGAAATTGTTTGAATGCAGCCTTAGTGTTTTATGGTGGCTGGAATTTTAATATGTCACCTCCTGCAAGCAAGACAGCGTATGTGAGGAAGAACTCAGTGAGTGAATGAAACTGGGAAATGTGAAGGTGCCAAACAGAGGTTGAGATCACAGTATGTAAAGACAAAGGTTTTAAAGTTTGCTGTAGAGGAAGACTCAGGTTCTGCTTTAAAGTGTGTGAGATTCTGAGTAAGCAGTTATTCTTAGATTATTTTAAAGGTCTATAACCTTCTTGTGGTTGTGGTGGCAGAAATTAGGTGTATTGTGACTTCTACTAGTTTCTCAGAAAGTAGATGGAACACTGGGTTTTTACTTATCTTTGAAGGCCTAAGGATTATTTGTTCTGTCATTTTTTCAGATTATTCTATGCACCTGTGGAAAATGGACTCCCAAAAAAAGCAATACCCAAGTTTATTACTTTGTTTCTGTACTATTTTTGCTATTGATCAATGGATTCAAGACTTCCTGAAATTATCTGGAGTCTTGATTTAAAAGTGCAGTGTTTATCATAAGCCTTTTAGGGTTTGTCTGGTTGTAACTGTTAGTATATGGCCCTTTTACATTGTCTTCTTTAGTTAAATTAGCTAGGGTTTCAGCTCCATGGATAAATTTTAAAAAATAGGAAAGGGTAATCTACATAATTAGGCCCTGCAGTTGTGAGCTAGGATGCTCATGGGCCAGTCCTCTGGCAAGCACTGTGCTGGGTGCAAATCTGCACTAAGTTGGCAAAGCCTTGATGATTCTTCAGAGTGTAATGCTGGGCAGTTCAGTACTGCAGCAGTGCCACACACCAGCATCCTGGGGCTGCCTGCTCATGGCATGGGAGTGGAACTGGCACTGAAGAGCCCGATTCTAAACCCTGTCACTCTTCAGATACTCCAGTGAGAACTGAACAGAGTCTATCTCAAAAAGGATCTTTTTTGCCTTTGTTGAAGAGCCTGCAGCAGATGTTTTGGAACAGACATTTAATGAAGCACAAGTGTTTCCAAGGTTTACATGAATTAATGTTTTCCAAAGTGGCACTTCTGCATTGTGGCTTCTCCTAAGTCTGTTTACCTTTCCATGCACTTCTCTCTCAAGTGTTGATCTCCAATGCTTTAAAATAAATTGGTACAAAATACCAAAAATATGTTTGTGTTTTTCCCAAGGAACAAATCGGCTGGAGGAATGTTACGAGACTATTAGTGTTTTCCACGGATGCTGGATTCCACTTTGCAGGAGATGGAAAACTTGGTGGAATTGTTCTACCAAATGATGGGAAATGTCATCTGGAAAATAATGTGTACACAATGAGCCACTATTACGTAAGTCTTCATATCATCTTCTAGGGAAATGAATATTTTATGATGTTTAAGCTCAAAAGAACTCATTGGGTCGTGTGGTATAGTTTCAGACCACTATGTCTTATAAAATTTATCTGTTTACATCGAGTGACTTTAGTTTGACTAAAGCACATGTGCAAGAATTAATCTAGTCTTAATTGGAAAATTTCAAGAAATGGCAGTTTTCATGCTATGATTAGGTGTTGCTGGATTTCAACCTTTTTGATGACTAATAATCCTGTATGCCACACTGAATCACAGAATATTTTGAGTTGGAAGGGATGCACAAGGGTCATAGAGTCCAACTCCTAAGCTGGACTTGTATGTCCCCTGGAAAACTGTGGTGGTTGTTTCATTATTTCAGTAGTCTTCATTTTCAGAATAGTTTACTAGGGAAAAATACTGTAAAATATCTGCTTGAATAGTTTTTTAAGACCGAAATCTTACAATGCAAAATTTATGGTAAAACTATGGTTAACATTGCCTTTGTGGTTTACTGGAAGGGAGATCTGACAAAAAATGCAAAGAAAAAATTACCAGATGGGGTAACCACAATAAGCTTTACCAAGTTTGTGTATTCATATATTCCTAACTTTGAGTGAAAATAGTACAATAAAAAACCTAAAATTAATTCCATTTCAATAATTTCTTTGTGAAACAGTGCAAATATTGGTTTTGAGGGACTGCAGATAATTTTCTGAGGACATTAAGTATTTAACCTTTTGTACAGCATGGAATGTAAAAATGTCCATGTGAACAAACACCTATCTTCATGAGGCATAGATGAAACCTTACCAATGCCTGTTTGTTTTCAGAGGATGTTTTGCTTTAGAACTGTGACATGAGCTGGCTAGTTAGGAGTTCTGTGTATGTTTCTAAAGATTATTTGTATTTATGATGTCAGAATTTTTCTGATTATTTTCTAGCAATATGTCTCAAATTTGAATTTAACTTTATGCTTTATGTTTTTAGGATTATCCCTCTATTGCTCATCTGGTACAGAAACTTAGTGAGAACAATATTCAGACAATCTTTGCTGTTACTGAAGAGTTTCAGGCAGTCTATAAGGTAAAGAAATTACTCTGAAGTTATTAAAATTGACTTATTTGAAATTAAAGTAATTGTGGAACTAAGTGATCATGAAAGTAATATTTTGCTACCCACATACTTTATTATTAAGCTTTTTTTATTTCTTCAAATCAAAACTGACTCTCTGTGTAATTTCCAGTGAGAAAATTCCCCATTCTCCTTGCTACTCTTGATAGATATGAGTGAGTGGAGAACACATTTGCAGTTCTAATTTTTGTGAACGTTTTTACATCAAAATAGCTGAGGAGGGTGTGGACACTGAATCAGGGGACACACTTATGAAAGAACATATTTTGTCTCTTTTTTTCTATTTATATACCCCATGTTTAAAATTAACTGAACTGCTGGATGTGATTGTGCAATAGGAAAGGACATGCATATTTTTCCTTCTTTTAACCTGTTTTTTTGGTTTTGGGGTTCTTTTTTAAACTGTATTCAAGTTTTTGTTGGAAAATTATGCCTGCCTATTTTTAATGCATTCTAAGTGTGGTTGAAGAGAGATTGTGGTCAACTTGTACAAGAGAAGGGCTTAGTATTCTCTTACCAAATGCATAGTTTGTACCAGTAAGGCTGTGTATAACCTCAAAAATTGTGTTCATAACTTGCTACACAGCTTTATTTTTTGAAGTACTTGACTAGTTAATCCACTAATGCATTATATCACCATTTGTACTGCAAATTATACTCTGTTTGCTAGTAAGACTGTACTTTTCCTTTTTTGTCAATATTGAAGGAACTGAAAAATCTGATACCAAAATCAGCAGTGGGAACATTGTCTTCAAATTCCAGCAATGTGATTCAGCTGATCATTGATGCATACAATGTAAGTTCAGATTTTGTATGTTCATTTTTCTTGCTTCAAAGGTTATTCAAGCAGAGACTCTAAGGTGGATTAGTTAGTGTTCTACGCTATAAAGACACTCCATTGCTGTAAAAACATACTAAGCATTAAGCCTCTATGACAGTAGGAGGTCAGATGAGTAAAAAGATACACTCTTAATTACTCTTAAAGTAATTTAAAATGGCATTACAAGGAAAATTTACCATTCATGTTTTCTCTTTCAAAAAATAAAATTCACAACCAAGACCCACACTGTTTCTTCAGCTTCTTCACTTTTACCTACTTTCTAAGTGTTAGCAAAAAAGGCCATTTTGCTGGGTTTGGCCCCACAATATTTTCTTCATTGCTACATTGTGTGTAAATGAGCCTCACTTCTCCTTTGGAGTACATGGAGTAAATGAGTGCCTCAACATCCTGTGGAAACCTGTCCTGACCTTGTAACAAGCTCAGACATGGGGCAGAATCACCACGGTGTGACTTTGGGTAGCCCTGGGCTGGTGTTTCTCAGCACATTGGAACTTAACTTAAATAATTCCATGGGGTTGGTGCTTAGACTGGGCATAGTTGTATAATGTCTGTTCTTCAACAGTACACCTCTGCAACTCAGTTTGAAGTTAGGTAATAACTGTTGCTTCAGTCCCTTTCTTCAGAGGTTATCCTGGAAAATACTAAGCTACCGAAAGGAGTGACAATCAGTTACAAGTCTTTCTGCAAGAATGGAGTGAATGACACACAAGAAGATGGAAGGAAGTGTTCTAACATTTCAATTGGAGATGAGGTAATTCAGAGTATATGTGTTGCTGCTCAAATACAAAATGCACTTAAAATGTCCAACACAGCATTTCTTTTTAATAGTACAGATAAAACTCCTTGTAGTAACATGACACTCCATTTTTTTTTGCAGGTTAGATTTGAGATTAATATAACAGCTAATGAATGTCCAAAGAAAGAACAAAATGAAACAATTAAAATTAAACCACTGGGATTCACTGAAGAGGTTGAAATTAATCTCCAGTTCATCTGTGAGTGTCAGTGCCAAAGTGAAGGAGAACCTAATAGTCCAGCCTGCCATGCAGGAAATGGAACATTTGAATGTGGTGCGTGCAGGTAAATAGCCATTTTCTTTATCTTTGCAAAAGAGAAATACAAGCAAGATCTTTGTTTCCTTTATTAGGGTCTATTTGAATTTACTGTTTTTTTTTTTTTGTGAAAGAACTAGAATTGCTATTACAGGCATGTTTCTTTTAAGATATTCTGAAATACTGCCATATATCTGCAAATAATCCCTGTGCTTAAATGTTGATCATTAGATCAGCATTATTGTATGAGTCAGAATTCAAATTTGGCCTTGAGTCAGTACTTTATACTATAAGGTATATATATACTATACTTTATACTGATCTATAAGGATATATAGATCAGTTTTTGGTGTTCCTTTTTAAATCAAGAGAACAGATTTTCCCATCTGTGTGTAGAAAAACATCTTATATTGGTGTCACTGTCACTGGTGTCCACTTGGTTTCACGTGGATGAGAACAGGCCTGTGGGTAAGCACAGCCTTTTATTTTTGTAAATGCAGCAGTTTCCTAATGATATGTTGTCTCTGGTGGACACCATGTAACAGTCTGTCAATCACTGATAGGAACAAAGACCAACCTCCATTTGCTCATCTGTATCTTACCCTTGAGAATGAGAAGTGCTGATCCCTGAAGATCTCAGTTTGGCAGCTCTGAAGATCATCTACTCTCCTTAATTGCTATTCACAGGAAACTTTTTCATTGAAATATGACAGCAGTTACAGGGAACAGTTGCTGTCACTTGATAAATAATTATTGTTCTGTCACATGACAGAGGGTTTAATAATGTTTATGTGAGAATTTAGTTAGAGGGGGTGACGCATAGTCTCGCACCTGGTATAACAGGTAAGATAATCAACATAAAAGCAATTTAGTCCAGTTTGCTCCAGTGCCTTCAAGAACTACTACGTAGGGGTCAGCTGGAAACCTCATTTGAAGTTTAAGTTGGAGCATCTCCCTGTTGAGAGAGTAGTTACTTTTACTCCTGTTCTTTGTGCTATTCTTGTGGCCTTTTTTTTGTGTGACTTTCAATTAAGGTTACATGTTTTTACCTTGCAGATGTAATGAAGGACGTATTGGAAGACTATGTGAATGTAGCACAGATGAAGTAAATAGTGAAGATATGGATGCTTACTGCAGGAGAGAGAACAGCACAGAAATCTGCAGTAACAATGGAGAATGCATTTGTGGACAATGTGTGTGCAAGAAAAGGGAGAACACAAATGAGGTGTATTCTGGCAAATACTGTGAATGTGACAACTTCAACTGTGATCGATCAAATGGTTTAATCTGTGGAGGTGAGAAATGCTTTAGCTTTCTGCTGGCAAAGCTGATCAGCAGTTCACAAGTCTGTCTTCTCTACCCAGCAGAGTGGGGATATTTAGCTAAAAGATCAAAGCCACTTGATAGTAGAGATGAGGGACACTCACAGATTAGTGATTACAAACACTTGTCTATTATTAAAACAACCCTTTGAACTTTTAGTCTGTTAATGCACATTTCACCTTCCTTGAATCACAGCTCCAAGAAGGGTGTAAAGTGAACTTGACTTCTGCTGTTTATTGCAGAATTACCCTCAGGTATTACAATAAAGAAGGCTGAGGCAACTGTCCTGAGATTGTAATGTTATAGTGGCTCAGTGTAACCACTGTGTCAATAGAAAGAGAGAATGCTCTCAGCTTACTTCTAATTGTGAGTGCTTGACAGGATACCAGGGAGATGCTTAACATGGTCTGAAAGGTAAATGAAGACAAAAATATGCAAGATCCAGAAAAACACCTTAAGCACTTGAAGCAAGATTTTGACGATAGTTAATTCCTGAAATCAAAAGCAATTTAAAAAACCATTCAGCTGCCGGTGTCTAAATTATTTTGCTGCTTTGCATGTGAGAGTATCCAGTAGGAGTACAACTACTACCTCAGTGTTGTCTGTGATGCAAAAATAAAACTGAGAAGCCACTAAGCTCTAACTGAATTATGAAAATACCTCAGTTGTCTGATTTGGTCAGAGTCCACTATTGCTCCACAAAGATGGGTGCAATGGTGGTGATGTTCCACAATACAGTCTGAAAGGAAAGTGTTGACTGAAACATTTCATTCATTGGAGAAAGAGGGTTGTACCCCAAAGATCTTTCCTTGTCATCTAGATCAGTATAAAGGCATCTTGTTTCTTGTGCAGAGAGTGTAAGGAGCATGAAGTTGGGTTGGGTGGTTGAGGTCAGAAGTACAGTAGCCGAACATTGGTGTCCTGTGGAGCCATGGAGCCAAAGCTGTTTCATTTTGCTGTGTTTTGAATACTCAGTGCACTCCTCATCTTTTTAAGTCTTGCTTTTTGTATAGTGATAGATATGATGACAGGAGTGGTCTATTTATCTATAGCTGTCTGTATCTGTATTTTCATATAGTGGTCAGTGCATACAAGATGGTGAACTGAAGCAGTCCTGTCATGCTCTCCACCCAGGGGATATGATCATCAGGTTACACTATTCTTGATCTGATATTCCTGAGTCTTGTTGTTTTGTTCATGAAACAAGGAAAAGAAATCCAAATGTATAGGAGAATGGGAAAAGGGGACAAATACCTGCAAGTAGTCTTCCAAGAATCTAAAATTTATTTTGTACCTCTTAATTCATGAGAGTCTTCATTATGTCTTCACTATGGTTTCTTTCTCTTATCTACCCTGATGTGGTAAACATTTATTTCTCACTGTCACAGATTTTTTCATATTAGGCTTGATTTCATTGCAATACCTCTTTACTGCACAGGAAATGGGATCTGCAAGTGCAGAGTGTGCGAGTGTTTCCCCAACTTCACTGGGAGCGCCTGCGATTGTTCCTTGGATACTACACCATGTATGGCATCTAATGGGCAGATTTGCAATGGAAGAGGAACCTGTGAATGTGGCACCTGCAACTGTACAGATCCCAAATTCCAAGGCCCCACGTGTGAAATGTGTCAGACTTGCCTTGGTGTCTGTGCAGAGCACAAGTATGTACCCAGAAAACCAAGTCCCAGCTTCTATGCATTTTGAGTTTGTGATATCTGGGGATTTTTAAAACAAAGCTTTTGATGGTTAAAACTTCAGCTAAGATTTTTGGTTAAAAGAAATACTACCAAAATTACTAAATTGACAGTCAAAAACTAAATCTAGACTTGTGTGGGCCAGTGGAATTTTCATCCTTCCCTTTGGAAATCCAGGTTGTTAGAAACCTACCATTTTCTGCATGAAAACTTTGAAATATGTTTAGGATTAGTAGCTAAGCAGATTCCTGTGCAATTCACTTTGTGATAAGAAAAAAATGTGATCTTTTTAGTATAAAAGTCCTGTTCAATCTGCTTTTTTCAATGAATTATTCAGTGACACCCCACTGTAAAGCCGGTCACTGAGTTTATTCTTTTTAACCTGTGTGTGTTCCACTGTAAGTACCCTGTTCTTATAGTACCTTCTCTGAAAGTACTCATTTCCCACGTAGAGGTGTTGAAAAAGTTTGGTGTTTTTTCTGTCCTTGAAACCTGTGGGTCATTCAGGGAAAGAGGAATTTATGAAAAGGGCTTTTGTTAATCTCAAGGTATTTAAATGTTCTGACTGGTACAAAGCCATGTCTTGCTTTATTTTTTCCTAACCTGTATGGCAAAAGGGTTGGTTTTCTTGGGCTTTTTCCCCGATGTTTTCTCTATAACATTTCTCGAGATTAAATGCTAGAAATCTTCCATGACCACACTGAAAAGCACTGCTTCTGTTTTGTTCTTGCCCAGGGACTGTGTTCAGTGCAGAGCTTTCGATAAGGGGGAGAAGAAGGAGACGTGTTCCCAGGAGTGTATGCACTTCAACATGACGCGCGTGGAGAGCCGGGACAAGCTGCCGCAGCCCGGCCAGCCCGACCCCCTGTCCCACTGCAAAGAGAAGGACGTCGATGACTGCTGGTTCTACTTCACTTACTCTGTCAACTCCAATGGTGAAGCCAATGTCCACGTGGTGGAGACCCCAGGTAGGAACATGATGTTGCCTGTTCCTTCTTTGTTGTTAATTTGTGCAGTTGTTGGGTGCTACAAAGTACCTCTGGTTGATTTGGGTGAGTTAAATGCATTTAGGTGCCTGTTACCCAAGTACAGTTGTGCATGTCTGAGTGGCTTTAGAAAAACACAGGTCTCCCTAGATCTAGATTTTTCAAACCCTTGGGCAGATAGAAACAGATTCTATTTCTTAAAAACAAAAGGTAAATCAGATATATATATTTGTTGAAACATTTCCTGTTTGCACTTGATGTACTCTCTACTTTTTCCTGTAGCAAGTCCTATTTAGATAAATTTTGATAATTTTTTTACTACACTTCTGCTACAGGTTATAAACAATGGTGTCTGTGGGGTTTTGTTCCTTTTTTTATTTTTCTTTTCTTAAAAATTATCAGTCTATATAAAACTTTGTACTATGCTGCAAACTGCTTGAATTTTTTTATGCTGAAAGCCTTTGCTTGTACTTGACTGTGGTACCTTCAATAATAGATCCCAAAATAATTTTGTTAGTTAATCCTTAATACATCAATCTTCTGATAGAAAAAAAAAGTGAGAACAATTCTATAGCTCCATCAGTAATTTACCATTTATTTACCAAGAGTATTGTTAGTTTGAATCACTGGCTATTGCATCTAACAGTGCAGAAATTATGGTTCTGTATATTAGCAGTTTGTGGTCTCCTGATTTTAAAAGCCTGATAGAAAATGCACACCTTAGAGACAGAATTGATAATTTTGATGATCATGACTTTTCACAGTCCAGTGGCTAGTGGCTCTTAGAAATAAATACTGCTTCAATTCAGAATGCTTTAAATGCTCTACAAAAGTAGTCCACAGTATAGAGGAGGAGCTTGATTTCTTTCTCCTATGACAAGCCACACATGCCCCTATGCATCTGGGGCCTGACCTTTTCATGAACAAACTTCTGCTGCTTTAGCTCAAAGGTAAATCAAGCCCATGGTGCATGAGGAGGCACCTTAATTTGTGCCATACAAGTGCTGAAGGAACAAGCTCTGGCCAGCAGAGCCGTGTTCTGTGGAGCAGACACTTGTTCCTTACTGGCTCCCAAGGAATTCTTGTCTTGTCCCTTCCCACTATCCTCACTCTTGCAGAGGCAGCTATGAAGATAGGGAGTCTGCAGTGTGGGAGAAGCTGTGTTCTATCCACAGTTATTCTATTGCACAGGACTTGCATTAATTTGCTTCTGACTCCTTCAGTCTGGGCACTGAGCTCTGCAAAAGCCTTTCTTCAGTTTGTGATTTTTGGGAATTTTATGTTAGTAGTGGAGTTGGATTTTAATTTGGAGGATTATTATTTCTGTGTCAGCCACTTTAAATCACCTTGCATCTCATAACAATCTGCAGCTTCCTGGTGAGGAGAAGAGGAGGGGCACACACTGATCCCTGTGGTGACCAGTGACAGGACCCAAGGGAATGGCCTGAAGTTGTGTCAGGGAAGGTTCAGGCTGGATATTAGAAAAGGTTCTTCACTCAGAGGGTGGCTGGGAACAGGAACAGGCTCTCCAGGGCAGTGGGCACAGCACTGAGCCTGACAGAGTTCAAGAAGTGTTTGGACAATGCTCTCAGAGCATTGTGACTCTTGGGGCTTCCCTGTGCAGGGGCAGGAGTTGGACTCAGGGATCCTTGTGGGTCCCTTCCAACTCAGGATATTCTGTTTCTGTGTGTGGGGCCTGTTCTGCTGGTCAGCATTTGTGCTCCAGCTGCCACAGCTTTGACTTGGAGCTCTTGCATGTTTAAATACAGTTGCCATTTATTTTACTCTTAGTACTGTAAATAATTAGCTAAAGGGGTTATCTTCAGAACAGGTTGTTCTGTTGCTAAGATCAAACACAAATTAGAAGGATGAAAATAAGCTGGAATGTTCCGGGATGTACATATTGCAAAAATTCTGTTATTTGAAAGAAAATTAGTATTGGCATATCTGATACTCAAAATACTGGCTTCAGCACAAAATCAAACATTAACAGCTTCTGGATATGCATTACCTTTACCATTTTGTAAAATAATGTTTCCCTTGCTTTGTTCCCCAGAGTGCCCCAGCGGTCCTGACATCATTCCCATTGTAGCCGGTGTGGTTGCTGGAATTGTTCTTATTGGACTTGCATTATTATTGATTTGGAAACTACTAATGATCATTCATGACAGAAGAGAATTTGCTAAATTTGAAAAGGAGAAGATGAATGCCAAGTGGGATACGGTGAGTCAAGAAGCTTTTCTATGTATAAAAGCTGCAGGAGCAGAGGAAAAATAGAAGCTTTTTGTTCACGTGCTTTAAAGTGTTTCATATTATAACCAGTCCTCTTGGAGAAGTATTTCTTGAGGCAGAAAAGAGTAGTTAGTCACTCAGGTTTAAGTAACATTTCAGAGAGGAAATTTGGTGACAGAACAGTTCAGCTTTGCAATTATACCATGCTTTACAACATATGATTAAAATGCTTATTACAAAGATAAGTCACTTGTGTACAAAGCAAAGAAAATTTTGCACTCATTTAGGAAATCTTGTAAATACATACACAGGATTAGTTGGGAGACTTCCATAAAGTTACAAAATCATGGCTGGTGCTGGTTTGTTGAAATTTTCCCAGCTTTTTGTCAACAGAGAAATGTGCAAGAAAAACAAGCCTGTGATCTGTAGGCTTCTATAGACTACAGAATCACTGCCTCTGGGCAATGTCAGCAGTCTGCTAATCAAGAGCCCCTTCACTACAGTTCTGTAGAAGTCAACGCCCCCATGTGCTTGATGAGAAAATATCTTTTTTAAAAATTGTCCTAGGAAACCTTTTGTTTTATTTAAGAAAATTGATTGATTTCATACTGGGGGAAAATATTACTAACACTTCATATATATAGCATTTTTTTTTTTCAGTGATAGTTGAAAATGTTGCTTTTTTTTCCTGTTGAATTATTCGACATTGACCATTTCTTTTACTTCAGCAAGAAAATCCAATATACAAGAGCCCTATTAACAATTTCAAGAATCCAAACTATGGACGTAAAGCTGGTCTCTAAGTCTCAGTTTGTATCTCCTTTCATTTTCTTTCCTTTTTTTCCCCTTTGCATGTTACTTCAAACTCACTGTGTGTCACAGTCAGTTAATCACAGTTTGAGTCTTGCTCAGTGTATCTACTGCTGCTTTGATTGTGGAGTTTTCAAGAATGCAGCTTGAAAATTTTTAACTGGTTTTGAAAGCGAGACTGCTTACTTACTAATACTGCCAGTACTGGCTTTAAACTATTCTACAAGTGATTTTTAATTTTTTTTTCTAGATGTGTGGATACATAATAGAACAGCTGCTAGGATTGAAGAATATTTTTAGATTGTAGAGAGATACACAGGGGATGCTTTGTCTTCACTTTCTTCAAATCAGCAGTCAGTTTGCTTAAAATCAATATTTTTGCTAAGATAGATTAGGTACTCCTAAAATATCCCAGCCTATAAATATCACTGGTTTTATTAGAATAGCCCTGTGAACGTGCAGAGTAGTATTATTTTTTTTGTAAACTGTTTTGGCTTATCAACCTAGTATAGACCTAGTCTGTAATTAAGGTATGAAATGCATATACTTTACTCATTTTATAATTAAATATGCACCCTATTTTTTTCATCCTTATTTCTATTGAAACTGGCAATGTCACAGTCCTTAAAACCTAGACAGCTTTAGGTTGTCCATAGATATGGAACATTAACAGGACAGAAAGAAATACCCTTGTCCCCTCTAGATGTATTTTTCACTCAGTTTCGTACACCCTCCTAAACTCAACCTGAGCACCTTATTGGCTTTGAGATGCTGAGTTCAGTTCTCTCCACACCCAGCACAACAGAAATGACAGCAGTATCCAGGACAGGAAGTCAGTGAAGCCCAAGTGATGAGTTGATACCTCTGCAGACTCTCAGGTTGCCCTTCCATGAGTGCTCAAGGTGTTCTCCTTCCTTGGGATCCCCAGCTGCTGGGGAAGGAGGGAAAGGAAGAAAGGAAAGGAAGGCTGAGATGGAGAATAGATGTCAGAAGAGCACTAACAGAAAGTAGTGCAGAGATGAGACTAGAGGGAGAGGAATTAAGAAGTTGTGAAGGTAGCACATCCATTAAACATCCATGGAGTTTTTTTCAGAAGCCAGTGGAAGGGAAGTATCTGTATCTAAAATTGTGCTGTCTGCTGTCTCCCTTTTTGTGTGTTGCATTCAAAAGATTTTGTAAAGGAAAAATAAGGGGAGAAAGCAGAAAGTGAGAGTATTTAAGCTCTTACTTGCTCTTACTGTGACAACAGTTCCAAATACTCTGTGTAACATTCCAAGCCAAACTTTCCTTTCCTCTTCACAATCATTTCACTTTGCAGTGTGTCCAAAACAGATTGTAAACAACATTCCTTTTGCCTGCTACATCAACCACATTCACCTCCTTTTCATTTTTCCTCCCAGAGCCAATTATTCTGGGGAGGAAATTGAGTTTTTGACCTTTCTAACACTTCACATACTCCATTTGGTTAGGTCTCTATTACCTGTTCTTCTGCCATTCACTTAATTGTGTACTTTCTGTTGCATGCTGGACAAGCACCTAACAAACCATACAGTGTGTAACTTCCATTCTGTGTTCTTATTCTCTACCCTGTGACTCTTCAGGATGTAATGTTTGGTGCTGCCATTTCCCCTCAAAATTTATTTCCTGCAAAAAGCTTTCCTCTGGTGTAAATGGAGGGATTGACTTCTGCCTTTTTGGTTTGCTCAGATGTGAAGGTTAAAAGTGTAAAAGGGTGTGGTTTGTTTTTTTTTAAACATGACTTTATTATTTTTGGTATTCATAGAAATATTAGAAGTCTGGGGAAAGAGGGAGGTGGGTCTATTCTTATGGACCATCAAAAATGAGGAGGTCAGAATTGTCAAAGTAGGTGAGCCATGAGATGTAAAACAAGGTCCTGCTTTTCCCTGTAGATAAGATTTTCTGGTGGTTTTGCATTATTGCCATAGCCTCTCATTTAGATGAAGAGTTGCCTTGTAATGCCAAGGCAGGAAAGTCATCTGAAATTCCATTATATGAAAATCACACTGTGGATTCCCTCCAGGTGTGTGCATCCACAAATTAACTTTGTGCAGTTTGTGTGACCCTTCCCCTCTCCCACAGCCTTCATCCACACACGGGCTGGGGCTCTGTGGTGAGGGAACTGCAGCACCATGGAGTTTGTCATGGACCAGATACTCTGGTATTTCCCTGGTGCTGGTCCATGGTGGTGCAGATGATGCCACAGCATCACAGTGGTCAGTGCTCAAGGCAACTGAGTCAAACAGAGTTCTGTTTGCCCAGGGTCAACTCCAATCAGCCATAAAAGCTTTGGTGCAATCACGCTTGTAACAAGTCTAAGGATAAATTTCTTCTGGACTGAAAAGCTCATCACAAATTTAAAATGGAAATCTGCTATCTGTAGTGAATGCCATTACCATTCCTGTGTGGGGATAGCTTGTGCATTGCTAAGCTTCTTCAAACAGAGTCCAGATTCAGTCATCTTGAATTTCTCAAGTGATAAACACATTTATATTAGATACTAAGTCTGTAGTAATTTGGTTAGCCTTATTAGTAGCTACTGGTTAAAATGAAAAAAAAAAAAAAACCACAATTAATTCTAAGCACTCAAAATCACAAGAACTTGTTCTTCTCCTGACTTGGATTTTGTGCTGTAATTTCCTTTGCTGCTGGACGTTGGACGTGCTCTGGGTGTGGGAGATGCCTTTCATGTAAATCCTTTTCCTATACATTCTGCAGTCAGTGGGCGCTGGTTTTGTGGCCCAAGGATGGAGGGACAGGGTTGGAGGTGGCCCAGGGATGGAAGGACAGAGTTGGGGTTGGCCCAAGGATGGAAGGACAGAGTTGGGGTTGGCCCAGGGATAGAAGGACAGGGTTGGGGTTGGCCCAGGGATTGAAGGACAGGGTTGGGGTTGGCCCAAGGATGGAGGGACAGGGTTGGAGGTGGCCCAGGGATGGAAGGACGGGGCTGGCAGTGCCCTCTGGCAGCTGCCCGGGCTGGAGCCTGCCCCACGCTCCAGAGAAACAGCGCTGGGACAGCAGTGGGGCTGCGATGGTCACAGCCAGCTCTTGGACAGCATGGGCATGAGCTTTCACTCAGTTTCTTACAGTGACTTCGGTCTTAAACCCACTGTGGAGGTAATTTCAGTGACTATTGAAACACTGAGCCCCTGGAGCAAAAGGAATAAGAAGGTTAATTGAACATGGAACTATTCTGTGTAATCGTTTCATCTTTATGCGACACTGGACTGAACTGTTGTCCTCTGAACAGCCAGTCTAGTTGAAAGTGAATATTATTGCAAGAACATAGCTCTTTATTCTCAGTTTAAGGTACTTTTTTAAAGTACCTCCATCTTTATTTTGCTTAATATTTCACTGAGTCTTGTTTGTAGTTACTGTTTGTTAATTTTAATTTTGGTTTAAGGTTGTATGGAGTTTTCAGTTGTAGAGGCATGTGGCAAATGTGTTTTCCCTAACTTCATGCTTAAACCAGTGTATTCTCTTCAGTGCAATAAGAAAAGGGATCATTTAAAATCATACTATTTGTCTAAGACAGAAAGTTTGGAATCCCGTGTTTTAGTGGCAAATTAAAAAACTGAAATGTTTCTAATGTCTGAAAATGTATACCCACTGCCAGCTGTGAGAGGCCCTGAGTGAGGGGAGCGTTGTGTTGGATTAGTGGATATTTATTTTAATGCAGAGCTGTCTGCAGGAGACCAAGCCAGGCCCAAGGCAGGGTGGCTGAAATGGGGCTGGAACAGGCAGGGCTTTACCAGAAGAGAGCAGGGAAGGAACCTGCAGATCCATCAGGTGCTGTGTTGCAATTAGAGGCAGTAGAGCCTCAGGAGCCATTTAGCTGATCAAATGTCAGGTTGGGTTTAGCTGAAGAGTTGTGAATATTGACTATATCTCCATTATTTGTAATGGGAACTGAGACACTGGCCTGACGTGGGCAGACAGCTAGTCAAGTGCTGTATCCAGTGACCTAAATCCCACTGCCTGCTTCTGAGAAGTGCAAGTGCAAGGGAAGGCAGGACAGAGTTTCAATATACTTACAGGGCTTATGCTAAATCAAGAGCATAAAAACTTCAATTCTGACTTCTCTTCAAAAAGCAGTATAGTAGAAAACTTGCAATCTTGTTATTCAAATTGTATTTTAAGCCTGATTTCAGATTCAAATTAGTTGTATGAGTAGAGCGTAGCAAATTTTGAAGTTTTAGTCCTTACCTTCAGATCCACTCCTAGGCTACCTGGTAGAAGTTGTCTCTCGTTTACAACTGGAAGATGTCAGTGTGTAGCCCCTGTATGTGCTGGGGGAGTCTGTTCTGTAAAATGTTGGAGGCTATCAGCACAAATATTACATATTGCCTTGCCATGGAGGAGCTGTACAATGACTTATTCTCTGTATATGATGCAGGCTTTTACACTTACAGACCTCCTCTGCATAATAAACTTTATATTTTTAAGAATTCTCCATTAAAACTTGTTGAGGAAATAAGCAATGTACAATGCCAAGAACTTTGAGGCATAAAGGGATATTTGGTATTAGATTAAATCCCTCATCCCTGGATGTTTTACATGTTTCGTTTGCATGTTACTATTGCAAACCTCTTGCTAAAAATATGGGGGAAGGTCATAATTTTGCATTTATTAATTAGTCTGTCTGAGATCTAGCCACATCACATGATTTTCCATTATTTAAAATTTTAAAAAAACCAACCACATGTTACTCCTCATCCTTTCCCATACCAGTAGGTGATACACTTTTAATCGAGACAGCATTTGCCTGGGACCTGGTAAGAAGGCGAAGAAGGGACTTTTGCTGTTACACTGTATTTGTAAGTACAGCCAGCACTGAACTCCCAGCTCCTCCTTCACCCCTGCCCAGGTGACATGGACTCAGATCTTGAGAAGACTGAACAGAGAGCTTTAACTTCCATTGTCTGGCAATCCAGGTTCTGGCTGGACTGGTCTCTTGGATCTAGGCAAGATTGGATGTGCCTCCATGCTCTTTACATGTTAGAGAAGCTGGCTGCCAGGGAAAAACCCTTTTTCTGTGAAAGGAGCCATGAGAGCAGCTGCAGGGTCTCCCTCAGTAGCAGCCACTGTTACACACCAGTTACTCATACTGTGCTGGGCCTGGCACACAGAAGGCAGCAAACTTCCCAGGAACCACGATGAAAAAATTCCACACCAAGTGAGGTTCTTGCTTGTCTTTGTCACATTCTGTGGTGATCCTAGCTGTTTTTCCAGGTTTGTGACCCTGAAAAATAGACACCTGATATTTGTGCATCCTTTACTTGAGTGTAGGAAAAATTGGTTTAACCTGAAATACTGTAAATAGAGTTGAATTAATATGGTTGTATAGCCCATCTCAGATTGGGTGGGGGGAGCTCTGAAGGGACAGAGATTCCCTCACTGCTGCTGAAGGCCAGATACAGCCCTGGCCAGAGGAGCACTCGAGCTGACATCTGCACTGAGCTGAATTTTCTCAGGACTCAGTTGTGTATGCACAAAAGAGCTTTATGCTGGCAGAAAACATTCATTTAGGATGGGGTTCAGTCTGTGCTAAGAGCTCAGAGCTGCAGCTCCAGGCTGTTCTAGCAGTGGTCCTTTCTGCTGTGAGGATTTATCTGTTAATTTTGAGTTCAAGCTGTTCATCTGAGTGTGCAAGGATGTCATAAATGGAGTAAGATTTACTGAGATAGAAGGAAACCTGGGGGAAAAAAGGAAGCTTAAAATAAGCTTAATTTAGGGGTTTTTAAATCTTCAGCAAGAGAGATGTAAGCAATTGTTCTGTAGGCTTGTCTCATATCAGTAGAAATTATTTTTTTATTACAGCATCTGCACCAGTAGAGAAGTTTCTTTGTTTTATCTGTAAATTTTGCCCTTATGGGGGTTGGGGAGACCTGCAGGAATCAAATGAGAACGACAAGTACTGAATGTTCACTGTAAATATTGACTGTGTATTAGCAAAATACTACAAGTCTTTCCACGTTGTTTCTAGAATTCAATTACAATGTAAAACAAGCTATTTAAATATTTATTATAGCAGAATGTGGTCTGTGGTCAGTCCTGGTGTCAAAAAATGTTGTTTATAATTCTGTTCTTCTCTATAAGATGCCCTGGGCTGCAGAGCCCTGGGTGATGGTTCAGCTGCCTCCAAGGAATTCTGTGCTGCAAATGGAACAGGATCCTGCTAACCCTTTGCTTTATTTATTAGCTCTGCATGCCTTTGTTCAAGTTGCTAGAAGGAAAACTAGTTTGACTTAAGCTGTTTGTGTGTACAAACAAAGCATTAATGGGTAATTTCTTATGCTAGTTTTTATGCTTCTTGCCAACACCTGTCTTTTTCCATATCTTTAAATGTTAATACAATTTTTTTTTCTTTTTCCAGGGTGAAAATCCTATTTACAAGAGTGCAGTGACAACTGTGGTCAATCCAAAATATGAGGGAAAATGAACACTGCTTGTATAACTTCACAACACTGTACGCAGTATAGCAACTTTTGTAGTCACAATAAGATAGATTTAGGGCAAACTGCAGTGATTTTACTAATTCATTACATATAGTAATTTTCCTATGTGAAAATGTACCATATGTAATTTTTTTTTTTTTTTTTTTTTTTTTTTTTTTTTTTTTTTTTTTTTTTTTTTTTTTTTTTTGCAAATAAGAGTAATTGGTGCCAGAGGTTGGACAAAAAAAAACTTGAGACTGTGTAGCCTAGTCAGCCCAGGTCACATGGTGCCTTTTTGACCTTTCCCATTCTCATGCTGTGAATCCAGGTCTTGTGCAGGGCGTGATGCTGCATGGCATGACTGGGAGGGAAGGGGTTAAAGCAATCAACATGAGGGCTCTGCCTAGCCATTTAGTATTAAAGTTTTTAGCTTTACAGGGAAATCAGGGCTTGAGTTTGCAGATGTAATTAAACTCATGTAGCATGGAGCAGGTGGTTAATTGGTCTTTGACTTGCTACATGTATGATTAAGTATTTGGTAAGTTGAGTCAGCTGGAGGGGAGCAGTGTAAAAGACTGAAAAGCATATGCATACTTATCTTTGATTTTCAAGTTGCATATTGCCAGGGTGTGGTTAAAATGAAAAGTTTTGAGAAGAATGTTAAGAAGGAAAAAATAGCTTTAAAACATGTGCCATTACTGAAGAAGTTGCTGACTGGTAACTTAGTTTTTCTTTGTAAATTCAAGCCCTGGGTGGCAGTATCATGAAGTACCTTACCAAGACATCCTCAGATCACCTAAGGGCCTTACGTGATGCTGTGTCTTTATTCTGTCATGTTTCTTTGCTTTCAAGCCTGGTGCTTTGTCACCTTCTAATCTTTTTAACGTATTTGGTTGCGATTCTTTTTGTAATATTTTTGTATCAACACAAGCTTTTTTTTTCTTTTTTTTTTTTTTTAGCAGTCTTAGCTGTAAATTTGCCTTTTCCCCGTAGCTAAGATTGCATAGTTTGTCATGTGACAAGTCACTCATCATTCTTGACATGTGCCATGTATATTTGCCTCTGACCATTC